GGGTAGCGGCTCGCTGCAGTGCCCAGGCCCCTGCGCCCGCTCATCTTTACCCCGCTCACATGAAGCGGGAGGGGACGATACCGGCGATGCGGGAGCCCCGGACGCGGTCCCGCTGCGGGCAGGTCTCCTGTTCCACTCCACCTGCCCTGGCTCGATCCTGGCTCCTCTGGAGCTGTCAGGAAAGCGCCGCTGCGACCAGGATCGGGCCCGAACGCGCGGAAATCCCAGGAGCCTTCCTGGGCGCTACTGACCCGACACGTCTCGGAGCAGCGGGCCAGAGAGCCCGATGCGGGAGCCCCGGACGCGGTCCCGCTGCGGGCAGGTCTCCTGTTCCACTCCACCTGCCCTGGCTCGATCCTGGCTCCTCTGGAGCTGTCAGGAAAGCGCCGCTGCGACCAGGATCGGGCCCGAACGCGCGGAAATCCCAGGAGCCTTCCTGGGCGCTACTGACCCGACACGTCTCGGAGCAGCGGGCCAGAGAGCCTGTCCGCCCGGGCACTCGCAGGGACTGGCCGTGCAAGGAATCAATACGAAAGAGCCTTTCCGAAGCCTGCTGGGAACTTGGCAGGGCCCAGCCCCAGGAAAGCTGCTGGGAATGGCCAGAGGAGGCTGTATTGGATTCGCCAGCTGGTGGCCTGGGTGAGCTGCTGTGCGGCTGGTCAGTTACCCGAACTTCTATGCTGTCACTGCAGCGGTGCCTATAGATGACGACCCGCGACAGAGGCCGATTTCCCAGTGTCTGTCTATAAATAGATCTCGCATTTGGTTTTAACTAGAGACCTGAGCTAGATTTCTGCCCCCGGTATTTTAAGGGTAGTTGGGTTAAAATTCGGACTCACTCCTTCCAAAAGAGAATCATTCACAAGATGCTTTTAAACATGTTGAACGTCCACACCATATTCAGCAGGTGATGGAATAGTTTGGAGTATATATTGCTTCCTTACATTGTTAAGCATTTTTTACACCTAAATATGCTATTTAATGTCTATGATTTTTCCTCACTGGACTATTTTAGAACTGCTGTCTTTTAAATTTGCTAAGGGATCAAATTGTGTCCTCAGAAATAAGCTGTAACAGATTGAAATATGACTGAGGTGTGTAGCGCATTTTTAACAACATTTTTTACAAATAGCAAAACTACAGTTCAAAACCATGTTGCCCAAACCATATTAATTCTGCTCTCTGTGCTGAGTCAGAAATTCATTTAGGGGGTAGTTCAGTTTGGGGGCAATTCATGTCCCATATTCAGATTTTGTTACTGCTTGAGGGCAGTGTTTTCAGAAATGTTGGGAAAATCTGTATGGCTTCATTTTTGGATGGCCAACTTCCAGTCACCCTTTGCCTGATTTTTGGAGCAGAGAGTCCTCCTACCTGTTGAAAATCAAACCCAAGGTGTCTAGAGTTGGGCACCACAAATCTGATGCTCACAAAAGGAACAAACACTTCTGAAAATAGATACAGAGATTTAATAGTAAATGTGGTAGGCCCCCAAATATGAGCAAACCTCTTATTTATATTTGCAAACAGTATGTACAATAGTGCTGGAACATAGGTGCTGCCTTCCCCTGGCTTGAATAATAATAAACATAATTATACATGGTTTCAATCATCAGCACCCCCCATTGTAATAATAAACATAAAATACATGGTTTCAATCATCAGCACCCCCACTATAAAAATTGCTCCAGCACCCCTGACTCTGTAATGCTTTTCTTAAAACTGTCCTATTTTTCTATTGCAAATAGTGCTAGCAGCCCAATTAAAAGTTTCAATTAATAAAACATATATCAATGAATTCAATTTGCAAACTTCTAGTTTAAAAAAAATAAATAGTGCAGATGTAAACCAGTTATGAAAAATATCTTGTCATTATACATTTAAGAACAGGTGAACTCTGTATACAATGTCCTAGGGTCCAATCCTTCAAACACGTATGCACATGTGATTAAATCCATTGAAGTATTTGCAGGATCAGACCTTTGCCTTGTAAACAACTGTCTCTATAATTTTTCAGTCACTTTAACAGATAAACTAAATAAACTAAAATAAAACACCACCCTATAATTGTTTTCCACCCAGAGTAGAAAATGGTATTTTACGTCTCATCCTTTTCAAAATATATGCATTTATACATGCATATAAATGTTCTTGTGGCAACACCAACCTTATTTAAAAGTTACATACAACCTAGAAAGTTGTCTACAAAAATTAGTTTTAAAATGTATCCTGTTTTAAAAAAGAGGGCAAATTCTTGTGTTCACTTAACACAAATGTATTGTCCACAAAATACGAAAGGTAGCAAAGGCAAAAATAAATAAATAAATAAATAAATAAAACAAAATAAAATTAGAAGTTGTGAAAAATGTAGTTTTCAGAGCTATGCATATTAAATAAAAAGTAGTGCTGAGTATTTGTAAAAAAAAAAATCTTTTCCCCAGAATAGCTTGTGTAGATTAAATTTGTCTTTGGGAAACTGTGATTTATATTCTGGAGTACTTACAAGATAGTGGCTTTGCTTGTTTACTACAATATTAATTAAAATGTATATAACTGCCTTAACTCATATGCTGGCTACTTCTCTGACCCAGAATTTCCTCGGAAGGAAATAAATGCCCCAGAAGAATGTGAAAATATGACTTTTTTTTGCAGTTTTGACAAGATTTGTGGTTTGAATAGAGGTGTTTCAATAGGATACAAAATGGAATTCACATTAAAAGCTCCATGCACATGCAATTTTCTTATCAGGTTATTCATTTGGGTTGAAATTCACCTAAGAATGTTGAGTCTGTGGTAAACATTTGGTGGTGGTTAAATATGTCAGCAAGACTGTGTGGTATCTGTATACCTCCTGGATGTTGCAAAGGGGGTACTCCCTGGGTAGACTGGCATGGGCAGAAAGAGAGATCTCTTGGGCCTGCACTTAGTGGATCCAGGGGATGGGTATTTAGAATCAATGGAGTAAGAAGTTTCAGCCAGCATTCATGCTGAACAGAGACTACAGTAAAATGTGTGCACTATCTGTGGACTGAGTGATGCCATTCCAAGGGGTTCCCTGCATGAATCCTGCTTACTGAAACTCTACGTATAGAAGGATGAATGTGGAATTTGACCCATAGAACAGAAGTGATTGGTCTAAAGTAACAGGCCGGATTCAACCCAATTCTACTCCAGTTGCATGCCAACGTATTTAAAGTCAATAAAGCTTTGCTGGCCTAGGAATCAGGCTTTTTGCCTCTTAACGAAAGTTCTAATTGCAGAACAGGGGCAGATAGAATGTGTCAGTGCATTTTGATAAAGGGTTTAGTGGGAGATGAGAATATAGTTATTGATGATGATGATGTTGATTGATTGATTTATAATTAGTTAAGCACCAAGAATGTACAAGACATAGGCTGTGGTTCCCTTTCAACCACTTGCCCCAGGGGGAATGCTGCAAACAGCTGGCCAAGTCTGATTCGGCTACCCTTACTCACTCATATGGAGTGACATTTCAGTCCACAAATAGTCCAGTGGAGACTCACTCCTCATGAGAGAGGATGGCAGAATGGAGCCCTACATAAGGTTTTCTTAATACAGTTCATCTGTGTTTACTTGTTCCATCTTTGTATAAGGAACACAGTCATGTTAAAGGGTCAGATCTTGTGGCCTTTATTCAGGCATCAGTTTTATTGACTCCTTTATCAGTTCTGGATGCAGAGGCAGTGCTCTCTTTGCAACATGTAGACTCTTTTACTGCCCTTGACTCTCTAGATGCCGCACATCAATGGGAATTTTGTCTGAGTAAGGACTAATGAATCAGGCCAAAAAAATCTCAATTTTTTTTGTTTGCTTTTAGCCTTATGCCATCACATGACACAAACTCTGCCTTTCAAACGTACACCATTTTAAGCTCCCCACATTAATAATTTTTTTGTCTTTGGAGCCCCAATCTTTCTCCTGTGTTTGAGCTTCGACAGATTGAAAGCTTTGGCTGGCACACTCTGATCATGCATCAAAAGTTGGGTAGGAAATCAGAGAGATGTCTTGTAAAGCTCATTTTTGGTTAATTGATGCCTCCAGTTTTAGACTGTATGCAAACGATTGCTTTGTATTTTCCCTGTCCATCATTTTGCATACTTCTGTAGCCAAGACAGCTTTGCAGACAGCCCAGTCTGAGTAAAGAGGAACCTGAAGAGGAAAATAGATTTTTCTGGGAACGGGATAGATTTGGTTCACAAATGCTTCACATCTTTGAATGCAGCAACCCAACCACATACATGCAGGCAAACACACTTTATCATATGTTGTGGGGGAGGGACTTGAGAGGGTAATTGCTGTGGCTATTGATATGAAAAAGATGACTATGTCGTATTTAAAGACAGTGATTTCTGTGTTAAGCAGCTTGTAAACACAGTTGTTGATAGGGATACTAACTGAAATCCTTGGAGAGCTAAAAGAAATAGAATTCCATTTGTACATTGCATTTGAAATGAAGACATTTTATAAGGAGGAACAGTTTGTAAATTGCAATGTTCAAAGAACGATGCCTTGTGACTGGATAGACTAATTTTATGGAAGCACAAATTGAATAGTATTGAAGTTTGTGTTTGTATGTCTAT